CACTGAACGGTAGTTTCGTTCTATTGTGGGACTCCTCAGTAGTGTGCATCCACGATCCCGACCTCCGCAAGATTCGAACACAGGACCTATCAGTCTTACTCGCGAGCGCTTAACCATTAGACCACTAAGCCGGCTGGCATCCAATGGTGTTAATGTCTAACTCCAACCAATCGACGAAATTGAGCGACACATCCACCAATGTCATCAGTGAGTTACTATCTCACAACTGACCCGGTTGAACTCCACTGATCATGGCTTTTCACTAGAAATCCAGAAGTGTCTTTTGAAGTCAGTCACTAGTAAACAGATGATTATTATCAGAAGGGTTTTTATGGAGATTTTAGTAATTTCAATAGTTGAAATCATTGAACAGATCAAGCATATTAACATTAATCAAATATTGACAATTAGGTGTTCATTATCAATTACCTAATATCTTACAATGATATTAGGCTTTTTCTTCATTAAAGCTAACTGTCTTTTCAATGTGTATTAGGGTAAATGGATAAGTATAAAGCTATAATGATCTTTTACCAGATATATAAAGTTTTCAATCAATCTATACTACTACTACTAATAATTTTAGCTTCATATTTTAACGTCATAGTGTTATTAACCTTGAGCAGTAAGTCATGTGATCAACTTACTTACATTTAAGTAACGAAGGGAAAAGGAGAATGTGTGTGTGTTAGAACAAATACAGATACTGATTGTAGAGAGTTAATATAAAAACATTTTGCAGGTGAATGCAATAAAAGGGAAGTAAAACTATTTACTTTATGACCAGTTGTTATGGTAACACACTTCATTTTGTTTTTATCTGTTTCTAGTTAAAGATTTTTATTCTACTTAAAGCTTATAGAAATAATCTTATATATCAAATTGTGATATGGATTTATCTATTTATTTATTTTGATGGAAATATAATAATATTATCGGGAAAGGATAAAATACTATCCACAAATTCCTCTTTGTTTATAATCATCATATGTTCACTAGTGACAGTCCCCAAGAGTTATTTCCTGGGGTTCTGGTGAGAAACCATGGCCAGTGGAGTTCAACTAGGTCAGTTGTGAGATATCAGCTCATTGATAACAATGGTGGATGGTGGTGCAACTTCGTGGATTGATTGAAGTTAGACATTAACACCGTTGTAGAAAATTAGATTTTCTGACACTGTTGGATGCCGGTTCAGTAGTCTAGGAGTGGATTCGAATCTCACCAGGTAGGATTGTGGATACGCACTAGTGAGGAATCCTATACAAGGACGAAACCGCCGTCCAGGACTTCCAGGTTTTCCATAATGATCTGGCTTCAATTGACTCATGAATTCAACTAGTAAATTACTATAATATCCAGAAAACCCCTCTTTGATTAAAATACTATCTTGTTATAGTATTAAACCATATATTCTCGAAAATTATTATGATTATAGAAGTATAGCGGGGTCGTTCATTTACTAACGACCAAGAGACAATGAGTTGAATAAGTGTTTAGTGTAACAGATGTAGTGCTAATACATTTTGATAGTAATATTATCTGAGGGTTAAGGAATCTCTGTGTGACTAGCAAATCCTGGATTCTATCCTCTATGAGGAGTCGTGGATGAGAACTGCCTGGGACGAAACGCCGGTTCCATGTTTTCTGGTGTTTAATGGTTGTTTAATCAAGGTCTGCTTGTAAGGAAAATAAGGAAATCAAATACTCTTCACAAACCCTCCGTTCTATTATTAAAATCAATTTCTTAAGATATATTTCCTGGAGTTCTAGTGAAAAGCCGTCACCAAAGGAATTCAATACCGTGAATCGATTAAAGTTAGGACTGTATATTATTGATTAGGCCTTCATCAAGAGATTTGAAGATGCTACATTTGATCTTCAGTCAGTTGGTAAATGTATATCACTGAGAAACCGTATATTAAGACGAAACAGCTGTTAGATACTATCTAACTATTAATGGTACTCTAACTGAAACTTATCTATGATGTATTCAACTTAAAAATGAAAGTGAATGGTATTGGAAACTACCTCAACTATATTTAATTATTTTGATTTTCATTAGTGTTTGTGATCGACAATTATAAGTGAATATTTTCGTCCATTACATGCTTATCTGGTTAATCAGACTAAACCAACTGTCTTATATCGATCATGATATATATAATATATACTGTTCGGTTTAACACTTATTACTAACAGTTTTACTAGATGGTGGTTGGAGGTAGTCGACAGGAAACCCTGGACCTAGGTTTCGTGCTCCTTGGCACTCGTCAGCAAGGTGTACCTATAATCTTGAGGGAACTGGTGCTCACTGGCGCATTCGATCTCGTGTCACTCAGCTTCACAGTCAGAGACGTTACCACTAAGTTATCCGAGCCTCCTATAGGACTGAGATGTAATCACAATTGATTGATCACTGGGTGGCGATCAATGTCATGCGTGTCTAGTCCTTATTAGTGCAGATCGAATACTATCGATCATTGCAACATGACAAGTAGCACGAAACCCGGGTCCAGGGTTTCCTGTCGACTACCTCCAACCACCATCTAATCTCAATATATAGTGCACGCAGTGTCGAGTCACCTAGACTGGTGGCCACATTGCAACATGATCGATAGCATTCGATCTGCACTAATAAGGACTAGACACGCATGACATTGATCGCCACCCAGTGATCAATCAATTGTGATATCAGTTTTACTACATTCAGATGAATGATTCCTATATTTGTTCGTCATATATTTCAATCATGTTATCAGTTAAATTAGTTTCTTCATAGAACTTCAAATTAAAAAGAAGTACATTAATTATCTTTCCATTTTCTTTGCTTTTCTTTCTTTTTTCTTTTTTGAAAGAGGTGGAGGTCTCTTGAACATCTCTCTCAACAGAACTGTCCTTAAATTGAAATAATTCAATGTTCATGTTCTTTATGTATATAGTTTTGGGGGAAATTAGTTAATCATCAATTCATTGAATATAAACACTGAAAATGATTATCTCTATTCGTATGTAACGCTTTAAGTAAGCATTAACTATAAACTGAATAAACAAAAAAACACACAGAGATAGGCGTAACTTTACAATAGAAAGTGAAAAAGATAACTTCTTTTCATAATTTCTTCATTGTTTCACAATATTTTTTAATCAGTTAGTGAAATAAAATAGAGAACAAAAATCGATTGTAATAAAATTCAATATAAAAGTACAGAAGAAGGGGGATAAAACTTGAGGTGAAAAATATTTTTTAATGGTTGAGATCATGAGTTCATTGAAGCTAGAACATCATGAAAAACCTGAAAGCACTAAATGAACGTTTCGATTTCGTGGATTACTTGAAGTTAGACATTAACACCTTTACATGCCAGTTCAGTGATCCAGAGGTTAGGCGTTCGCTTGCAAGATCGATAGGTTTCGAATCGATAAGATTCGAATCTTGCGAGGTAGGATCATGAATGTGCACCGCTGAGGAGTCCCACAGTAGGACGAAACGACCGTCCAGTGCTTCAAGGTTTTCCATGGTGGTCTAGTTTCAATTGACTCATGATTTCAACTATTGAAATTACTAAAATCTCCACAAAACTCCTTCTGATAAAGAAAAATTGATTAAGTAACGATTGAATACAGTTATGATATTTTGATAATAAAATAAATAAATTTTGGTAGAGGTTTGCTCTCTGATTTGGATAGTTTGGCCGTTAAACATTCATCGTTCTTCTGAATGACATCTATCAGCACAAAATTTAATTGAATAGAGAAATACTTCTATAGATGTTTTGTTTAAATTTGTTGATTTATCAACGGTCCAATTGTGAGGGTTAGACATTTAGTGTCTATATTAGGGAGGAACACTAAGTTTTTTTAAGATCTATGATAAATAACGTATGTTTACTTTCAATGAAGTGTATGATTCACGTGAGGAAGCTATAAAAGCTTCCATATAATGAAGCTCAGAGAGGTTATGCATTCTTAAACTGAGTCATGTTGATCATCATGTTAAAGGTTTGTAATCTTTCACTGGTGATTTTCGAAACCTCAGTTGATCAGTCTCCATTTCCATATGGGCATCCTGAACAGATAGCGTCGATACGAAGTTATGTCACAAATGTTTTAGTATATTTGGTATGCAACTAACAGTAGAATATAGGACATGAGTTTTATCATGCTTGAGACTTGTCAATTGAGTGTACCTGTACTCCGATGTTGATGTTCATATTGAGACACGAACCAAATATCTTTCGATCAAAACCCCTAACGCATTATCTTATCCATGGAGCCAATGAGCTCGAATAGCCACAAACTTATTGAACGAGTATGAAGTTATTGATTTATATAGATGTAAAGTTTTGAGTTCTATTGTTGTTAATATAAAATACTACATTTGTAAGCCTCTGTTGCCATATATGCACCCTGAACGGATTAACTCAATACTGCCTGTTCAATTCTCATTATGAACATCAATACTAAGATCCAGGTATATATAAGTGACGAGTCACAAATGGAACGAAACGCATGTCCTGGATTAAAATGCTAGTCAAAATTCAACCTTGATAAAATCTGTATTTAAAAGAAATATTCGGATAGTTCACGCTCAGGGGGTGTACATCTGACAATAAAGGCTGGTTAATTCTAATCTTCAATATCAACTACAGACAAACTCAAACCCTTACACATACGTCTAAAATTTGATTTTACTGTTGGCAAACAATTCAACCCTACTTAATGACTCCGGTCTAAACCAAAAGAAAATTCGATATTAAGTGAATTAATTACAAACAAATTGAAAAAAAGTCAATATTGATTAAAATAATTATTGAGGTGTTAAACGTTTCTGTAATAAACATGCACACCCTTCTCATACTAATAAAGGATAAACTATGCAAAATCATTATGAAAAAAATGAACCGGTATCATAAGTGTTTTCAGTATCATGAGAGAAAAAACGAGATAACAATATATATATTTCTAGGTCACCCACATAAATACATCACGCGCATACCTACCTGACTGTGAATTCATCGATGAGGGTACCCGCATTTTTCCACTTAAATTTAACAGTTTATTTGTTGAATTATGATTGCCTGTTCTTGATTCACCATCATTATTGTAACCATTAGTTGGTGTAGTTTTAACTGCTGAGGAAAACGAAATTGAAGCTGGAGATTTTAATGATGATGATATTGTTGTTGTGGTGGTGGTGATGGTGGTAACTGGGACAAACAATGAAGAAGGCTTTGATTTATTTGTCAGATTATCATCAACAGAGTGATTGTTAGCATAGTAGTTTGAATTATTTGACGATATAGAAGTATACGATTGTATTAAAGATTTAACGACTGAATTGGATGATGGTGAGGATGATGTTAGTGTCTGAGTCGTCGAAATCGGCGTCGTTGCGGTCATTGTTGTCTTTATCGTAGAAGATGTTGGAATGGAAGAAAATGTATCAGTTGTCTTTATTTCTGAACTGTCTATAAAGTTTACCGATGATAACGAAGACGATGTTACTGTATTATTAGTTTCATTACTTCTACTGTACAAATGAAGACGACTGGATGGTGCTAACGAGGATTGTGATAGACAAGTAGGAGTCACCGCTTTTTTACTCATAAAGGCTAGAGATACCGATGGTGATGATGATACTGATGAAGAAGGTGAAGAAATAGTTGATGGAGTTACCATTGAAGATGATTCATTTGGTGTTGTATATGGAGTAACTGCTGGTGATGTTGTAGTTATCGTCGATGTTGGTGATGATGACGATAATGTTAACGATCCTAATGAAGACTGTGCTCTTATATGCTTAGAATTAAGTTTTACTAAATTATCAAGAGTATCTGTAGAAAACTGTGTATCATTAGTGCTAATTGGTGTCTCAATGTTTGCAGAATTGTGTAAATCTTTTTGTTTGTGACTACGTGCCGGTAATGGAAGTACATTAATTGCTCCTGCTAAACGTGAACCACGACGTGGTGGACGTGGTAGATTATCATAAAGATTTGATGATATATTCACTGATTCTCGATCATTCTTATGCTAAAAAAAAGAAAAGAAATAAAATGTAAAAACAATATAATCATTTCGAAAAACAGGATCTTTACAAATGTATCCACTAATACAATAGACTCAACTCATTTGAATGAATCGATACACAAATATTAAAGTACACCAAAAACTATTAAAATCTTAATTCATAAGGGTTTTTATTTTCTTGGTATTGATGTCAATATTTGGAAGAGATCTGGTTCCATTAGGATATGTACATTCTAAAGTTGAACAATGGCTGGTAGTGGTATCCAGGATGCCATTTTTGTTTAGTTTCGCACTCATCGAATGGACACGCTGAAAGCAAGAGGTACTAGGTTCGAATCTCTTTGTGAATATCAGCACTGGTAATCAATTACATTCAGCTTAAGTCCCAAATAGGAAAAAATGGGGGAAAATTTTATTTTATGTCAGATGGTTAAAGGTAAAAATCTGAATTCAAATATATATATATATATATATATATATATATATATATATATATATATATATATATATATATATATATATATATATTCTGCTTACAACTAGTAATAAAAACTTATGGCAAAACAGCCTCATCCAGTCAGTTCGCTCAGGATGTGCACATATGTTAGTAAAGACTGATCGAAATTCACTCTTGAATATCAATAACAAGATCATTCAAACCCTTGCAATTCATGGCGTATAATTATAGTTGTAATAATTAACAGCGAATCATTCCATCACAATTCGATGCTCAATTAAGTGTTTGTATACAAAAATAATGGCTGGACAAACAACACCAAGTGAATCTAAACTTCACCCCATTGTACAAGCAGGTGGCTATTAGGACTCAGTAGCTTAATGGAGAACGCGATAACGTTTGAAACGAACGGCACTGGGTTCGAGTCCCGGAGTGAATATCAACTCTGGGATGCAAGTACATCCAACTGACGCGCGTCCTGAATTCCACTGTTAGCCACTATTAATGGCTGGACAGTTAATAGATCGAAGAAACAATGATAAATCCGAAGTTAAAAGTACCTATTACTTGTAGGGTGACTACTTGATCTGTTAAAAGTAGTCGATATACCAACATTTTAATACAAACGATCAAACATTATATACATTCAACCAAAACTCATTTTGTCTTAAAACTAATGAGACGATAATCAATTCCGAACAGACAAAATATCATAAAAACAAGTGAACCATTTTTTTCATTTATTACTTATGAGTCACATAATCGGTGTTCAATAAAAATATGTTCAAACAAATTAAATAGTTAACAGGCATGTTTTTCGTGTAGTTAACATTCAAAAAGAAAGTAATAACCAATTTTAGCATATAGATATTTGTGGATATTGTAAAATTTTCATAGTTTATATCATGGACTGGTTTCGCTAACAACACCGTTGGAACCTAGAAGCACTGAAAGACCGTGTCATCTTAGTGTATGTGACTCAGCAGGACTCGCCTACAACGTTGTACCTGGGAATCGAACCCAGGACCTCTGGTTTAGACTATGAAAATTCTACAGTCACTCCAAATCTCCTATTACTAATAATAATTATTATTCACTCTCTAGTAACTAGCTTCAAGTTCTAATGAGAAACTGTGACCTGTGGGTGTTGGATGTCCATATCAGATGTGAGGTAGTTATCTACCACAACCAAAGGAATTTGGTTGCGCAATATCGTGAATTGGTTGGAGTTAGGCAATAGCACCAGTGGATTCCGGGTCAGTGGTCTAGAGTTTAGGCGATCGTGAGGGAGACCGAAGTTCCTGCGGTCGTGCACGTGCACTTCCGAGGAATCCTATACCATACAAGTACATCCAGGTTTGGTGAATATTGCTGACATGTAGACAGAGACTAGTGAAGAATGACACCGATACTATTGAATGGGTCACATTTTTGATAATTAAAGGTTGTTTTGCTTTTAATCCATTTTAAACGAGTGATATTTTGACCGGTTTATAAACTAGGTTTTAGATATTCAAATGAAGTTTGTACCATGACAAAAATAAGATCAAAAGATTAGAGAGCAAATGCTGTTACAGCCATAAAGAAATAAATTGGTAGCTGGGATGAAAAAAACCCCCAGAAAGATCCCTTAATTATCGAAAAATTACTAGAAAAACAGAAAGTGACTTCGGATAGCGCATTTATTTAATTATTAGTGTGGGACAGATTGTTGAAATGTATAGTTTACATCAATAACTGGCCTTCGTAACATATGAGCCTTATACGCTAGGAAGCACTGGATAGTTGTTTCGTTCTAGTATAGGGCTGCTATGTGGTAAGCGTCCATATGCTAATTATTCACTAACTTTTAGAGATAGTTTTGACGTTTTAATGAGAAGCTGTGACTGATGGAGTGAGACAGATACTCAATAATGACAATGAATGAGAGTCCACTAACAGAGAATTAGTTCAGGTTAGAGATCTTAGAAATCGCATACTAACACATTGGTCTGAAGGTGGGACCGTACATGTAAACTGCTGAAGAGTTGCATACTAAGAAGAAACAGCTGTCCACTGCTTCCATGATATAAACCATAATATTGATTTATTAATTAAACAGTTACAGTTTTCTAAAATAAGGAGTTTACAGTGTAGACCAAAGTCCCTTTATTTCCGAAGGTCAAAGGTCCAAGTTCTAATATCATCAGTTGGATACTTCCACATACTCAATAAAATCCTTATCTCAACTAATATGTATGTTGGAGTTGGTTAGAGCTAGACCATCATGAAATATCTAGAGTACTGGACGGCCGTTTCCTTCTACTACGGGACTCCTCGGCAGTGCGCATTGACGATCTCGCCTCGCGGGATTCAAACACAGGACCTGTTGGTCTCGCATGCGAACGCTTTAACTCTGTATCACTGAGCCGGTATCCAACGGTGCTAACGTCTAACTTCAACCAACCCATGAAATTGCACCACCGTCTACTATTGTCTTCAGTGAGTTACTGCCTCAAAGCAGACGCGGTTGAACTCCACTGGTCACTGTTTCTCACCAGAACTCCGGGAAATCCGTCTTGATGCCAGTAACTGGTGAGCACATGATAATTATTATCAGAAAAGGGGCTGTTGTATTCTGAAGGCATCACTGTACGATCATTCGGTTACCAATATTACGGTGCTTTTATTCAGGCATCATCAATAACGCTTTCAAAAAAGGATTCTTGTTGAAAGTTATACACTTTAAAGACGCATTAATTAATATGCAAAAACTAGAAAATAATTGTTACAAGAGGACAAATGTAACTGACAAAATCTAACATATTCAGTTTCATCTGAGACTGACTAAAAATAGGGAGCAAATATCTGGTAATAGTAGTAGTAGTAGTGTGCCTGAGAAAATCGTTAACATCAAACGGAATTCATATTACGCACTACACTGCAATGTTGTGCATGGAGGACTGCTCACAGATGCATTCCAAGTGAAGACTGGTGTCAGACAAGGCTGCCTACTCTCTTTCTCGTTCTTCTGGAGTTCGATTGGATTATGAAGATTTCCACATCTAAGGGGAATCACGGAATGCAATGGGCTACTTGGATGCGGCTAGACAATTTGGACTAAACAGATGATCTAGCTCCCCTATCCTATACACAGCAACAAGTGCAGGTAAAGACAACCAGTGTGGCACCAGCCTCTGCAGCAGTACGCCTCGATATTCACAAAGAAAAAGGCAAGATCCTCAAATACAACACGGAGAAAATCAACCAAATCACACTTGATAGAGAAGCTCTGGAACAGGTGGAAACGTCCACTTACTTTGGCAGTATCGTTTATAAACAGGGAGAATCTGAAATTTTGAAGGCACGAATCAGCAAAGCAAGAGCAGAATTACTACAGATGAAGAACATATGGAACTCAAAACGACTGTCAACCAATATTAAAGTCAGAATCTTCAATACGAACGTCAGGACAGTTCTACTATACAAAGATGAAACTTGGAGGACTATTACAACCATCATAAAAAAATACAGGTATTTCTAGACAATTGTCTACGCAAGATACTTAATGTCCGTTGACGGGATACCATCAGAAGCATCCTTCTGTGGAATAGAACAAGCCAGCTTTTAGCTGAAGAGAAAATTAGGAAAAGACAATGGAAGTCGATAGGATATTCTTTACGGAAACCATCGTACTGCATCACAAAGCAAGAGCTAACTTGGAATCCTGAAGGCAAAAGGAAATGAAGAAGACCAAAATACAAATTGCATCGGGAATTGGAGGTAGACATCAAAAGAATGACCAGAAGTTGAAAACAACTGAAAAGGACAGCCCAGGGCAGAGTTCGTTGGAGAATCCTTGTCGGCGGCCTATGCTCCCACGAAAAGTAAAAGGGGTATGTAAATATGTAAGATAAGTTGTGTTGGGGGTGGAATATTACGGATGTGAATTCGACTGTGAAAAGTTCAAAGTTCTCGACCAGAGGAACTCTAAGCATGATACAGTATGTTTAGAAGCAAGGCACTCAGAACAATCAATAATTAGTAGATATATTGCTAGAGACCTGACTTATAGAGCCAATATGAAGAAGGTCAATTAGTCACATAGTCAGAGGTAGATTGAATAAGACAGTTAACTTGAATACAATGACAAATAAAAGCAACGGAATTCAGTAAAATAACTATTCACAAAGTCATCAAGACAAACCAATTGACCGCTTATGGAATAACTATGGAGATAAACTCTATATGAAGTAAAAGTCGATAATATTATCCAGAATGACAACAAAAGCTTTATGATTACATCATATAACTTAGAGAATCCGGTAAAATCAAAAACTTAAATGTCATTTACTCTAGTGTTTAGATAAACGCAAAAATGAATTTACAATTTAAAAAATAACGTTCAAAGGAGTAACGAACACCAACTTACTACTGCTGCTTTACACAAAGTCGCTTTAAATACTTCATTTTTATCATTGGTATTTGATGGAATTACCTGTGAATCGACATCATCCGATGATTCCGGAGTGGCTTTCGGAGGAAAAGACTCTGATAGACCACTGCTTCCATTATTATTATTGCTTCTATTACCACCATTAATAGAATTTGAACTAGATCGTAACATTGCAGATTCACTTGGTAATTTTGTACGCTTAGATCTTGCACGTGGTAATGTTCCATGAATACTGCCATCTAATTGATCATTATCCAAATTATCATTTGTATTAACGAATGATTCGCCTACTTTGGTATGATGATTAATATTATTAGGAAGAGTGCCACTATCATTATTATTAGTAGTAGTATTGTTATTGGCATGTAACTCTAAATTACTCAATGTTAATTGACTACGTTTAGTACGTTGTTTCGCTTCCAATGCTAATTGTCGTATTTGTGTAACTAAAGCATCAACTGGTTGACCATTTGGTGGACTACATCTAAAGAAGAATTTGCCATCACCAGTGGAACATCTTCGACCAGCATCAACACGTAATACACCATTGGATGCACCAAATCTATCAATGTATAAAAAAATTGTTATTGTTAAGTATGAATGGTTTATCAAAGCAAATAGGACTTTTGGAAATCATTCTACTGGAAATTAATATATTACTATTATTTCATTATTGTATATATATATATATATATATATATATATATATATATATATATATATATAGAGAGAGAGAGAGAGAGAGAGAGTCAAAAAGGGACTCTATCAAAGCGGGCAAAATAAAAAAGTCTTGGATTCAAAACATTTATCCAGACTAGTCACAGTCAGTACTAGAGAAAAGAATTGAGGAAATTCGTATATGAGTAGTAATGAGGGTTTTCTATGCTTTCATATAACATTCCCAAAGATTAAAAGTTCTTTCAAGTTAGAAAAGAACTTCTAGGATCTGAAGCTACTAAGGAGAATTAATCGTCAAATGATTATTATTAAAATCATTTCAATAGTACGTTAGATCAGCTAATCAAACTTAAGAGAATAAACTATAAGGAACTGGAACATACCATCAATTATGATTGACCCATATGTTTAACTACATAGAATGAAGTTATTACTTATTCTAGGAGAAGAAATTCTATGCATTAAACAGATTATGACACAATCACTATTGAATTTAGTGGTTCATTCCAGTGGAAAATTATTATACCTTACGTTATGAGTAATGAGGTGCCAATATTTCAACATTAAGTGGTTTATCATTTATTTCAGGACTTGGTCATAGAGAACCTTAAACCAAACTCCTACCATTTGCTTAGTGTATATCAAATTAACAATAAAATTCAAGAATGGGGGTTCGTGGAGATTCTAGCAACTTTTAACAGTTGAATTGATGAGTCGATTTAAGCTGAAAGGACTGGACGGCCGTTTCGTCATTATGTGTTCATTAGTGACTAGCTTCCTGGAGTTCTAGTGAGAAGCCGTGACTAATCGAATCCAATCTGTATCACTTGAAGACAGTTATCCACCTCAAACAATTGATGAACGGTTGCACAAGATCATGGATCGATTGAATTTAGACATTAACACCGTTGGATGCCGACTCAATGGTCTAGAGGTTTAGCGTATACGTGCAAAACTGAAGGTTTTGAGCTCGGGTCCTATGTGCGGGGCCGTGATTGTGCACTACTGAGGAGTCTCACACTAGGGCGAAACGACCATACAATGCTTCCAGGTTTTTAATGGTGGTCTAGCTTAGATCGAATCATGAGTTCAACTATTAAATATGAAATTCTAAGGAAAAAGCTTAATAAAACGCTTTATATTACTGAGAAAAATATATTTGAATGGAATCACTTCTCAACTTGAAAAAAGTAACATTAAAATATAAGCGTATCAAATCTATTGTGGAAAGAGGTATTCAAGAAGATGAAGTGTAACAAACACTTTGACCTTTGCCATTTACTTAAAATCTATCATATTCACGAAGTTATTACAGGACATGTTCTTCAATGTCAGATCTAATATATATATATATATATATATATATATATATATATATATATATATGGAACTGAACAGTTCACAATACTTCACACGGTCACAGACGTTTCAAATTGGATATCTACTGACTGATAAGCCATTTTAAGACAAACTGTCAGACTATTCAGTCAAACATAAGCAACAGAGAAAATGACACATCTACGCATCAATTTAGTGACCACATCATAAAAACCTAATAAAATGAAATTATTAGCGTAAATGTTAGAGTATTAGAATAAGTGGCAGTAACAATGGTTGAGAATATTATATACAGAAAATATGTTTCAAGAAGAAATAGTGAATTCGTGGGATAGTAAAATTTAGGTATCTTTAAATTTCGGGATCTAAAGGAAGACAAAAGGTAAATCAATCTGTGCCATTGTGATTAGTTCTCAGCCATTTCACCCAAAGTCTACGACCATTATTACGGTAATCTTGAGAACCACAACTTGATAAACAGAACATACCAACACGATTCTGTCCAATAGTCAATGATTCGTTCACCGTGACATTCAAGCCTATATCACCCAGCTTCAAGACTGAGACATTACCATTGTACTATTCAGGCCTTGATTGACTTTATGTAGGACTGTGTTATTTACGACTGATAGGTCATAAAGCAATAACCGATGTTATAATTGTCAAGTTCCTTATTGTTTATCAAATTCTGTCAATCAATTTTCAAAGTAATTTGTGAAGCTGGTTGAGAATTGTTCGAACCGAACAGAAAGAATCAGTTTCATCAAAATTACAGATATGCTTGGTTAACAATTGCCAAACAGCACTAAACCGAGGTCAGATTAAGTATCCTGCCAACTATCTTACATTTCAGCACTGTCCAAATGATATCAAGTCACTTATATTAACATTCGCATTGTCGTATCAGTCCATTAGCAGCACTACAGTACTCAATAAACATAACATTGGTCATTAGCCAGTGATTAATCCATTGCAAACAATGGAACTTGTATAAAATTGAAAGAGAAAAAAAATAGAAACACTAATTAAATATGACGGTTGCAGCTTTCTTTATCACAGACGGACAGAAACAAACACACACACACACAAACATGATAAAGCATTAAACATATCCGAAATTCAAACTTTTCTTACATTTAAAAGTTCCAACAACAACAACGACAACAACAAAAAACGGGCAATCCAACAAATCAACAGAGAAACTTATTCACCAATTATGAACAAAAAGAGAAACTAAAGTGTACATTATTTTAATGCTTCATGTAGGAGTTATATATGTATGTAAATAATTAACGTGTGCTAACTTATCAGATTTCAAGAAAACATTAGTATATACGCCCCCCCCCCTCTGTATTGTACTATAACGCTTGGTAACTAATGACTTACATTCCGTACAAAGTTTATTATCATTGAACGAGTTAACACATTTTATTAATTTTGTGTAACTAAGTGATAAACTAAAATCAAGTACATTCATCTGTTTATATGGTGAATACAAAGTTGAAATTAGTCGTTATTTTGTTTACTACATGGTAGGTAATGCATAGATATTCATAGATATATCAGTAGAAATTTCTTTCAGTCTATAAAGAACCAAATAAATAAATAAAACAAATGAGAGTGAAATACAGCATTATAGATAGAAATTTTTTTGATTTTAGTGTAGTTCAAAGACGTTAAACATGAATGATACTGTGATTATGGCTAAATAGATGTCTTTATTGTTTATAAAATCTGTGATTTGTACAGTTTTAAGTCTGTAAACTGTTAAGAAAGTGAACGTAAACACGAGAGGAATTAGTTTTTCAGGAGATGGGGGGGGGTAAAAGAAAGAAACATTAGACTGTATATAAAAAAATAAAAAAAGGAAACTTACACTAAACTATTAATGACTTCAATTTTGAATCATATGTCAAGTATTTTTTTTACTGGTAAAGATGTACCAAAAAAATAATTGGAAACTGGATGTAAGTTTATTTCATATCATGAAGTGATTTTGCGAATCTGATGCTTCTCTAATTGTTATAACTTGTGCCCTGTGTTCTATTAATGTATAATGTAATCGACCGGACAAATGATGTATAGAAACAAGTACAAGCAGTCTCGAGTCCTTATCAGTCCAGCTTCTTGCCTAGCCTTGCTTGTTAAGTCCAGAACACCAATCTCAGCCACTGAGATATGAATCACTTATCCCAAACATACTGGGTTTATAAACCAACTAAAAAGACCATATCGTACCATAAAATAGGAAACAACATTTGTACAAGATTTAGTCAAATGTGGCTGTGAATGTGGAAGACTGTAATTAATAAACTGAGAATAGTAAATCGTATAATAATAGTTCATAGGTCAAAATAAAGCTCATAGTTAGAGGGACACGAATATGAATAATTTAGTTATTTAACAATTTCACGATAAAAATATACGTATAGTATTAGTCCACAAATGGATCCCAAAAGGTACCATTCATTATTCTCATTGAGATATAACACTAATTCACTTAATCAGTTTTAGTGTTAACACTCGATATGGATTCACAGTGGAAATATATCTTCACAAATCATAATCATCTGTTTACTAGTGATTAATTTCAAGAGGTATTCCTTAGAGCTTTAGTGAGAAGCTATAACCAGTACAGTTCAACCACTGTCTAGGTGAGAGATTTACCCACTAATAGGTTTGACTGATGGTTGGGTAACATAGCAAGTTGTTTAGAGTGAAAAACGTCAACCACTGTATGTCAAATTCATTGATTTATAGGTTAAATGTTTTTTGCAAGACTTGAAAGTCTGGAGTTTAATCTCCGGTTGAGAGGTCATGGACGTGTATTACTGATTAGTCCCATATTAAGATGAAACATCGATCCAGAGATTGACTTGACACTAAAACTTGATCAAATAAGTGGATATTGAAGTAATAGTAGTATGTTTATTTTTCAATAAAGTAATTTAGCGTAATTTATCAAATAAATGCCAAAGTCCTACAGGGGATTGGTCACAGACTGAATAGTTCAGAATTAACATCTCAAACCATTAATTTGGGTAATGTGGATTCGAATTCTGTGGAGGGAGGGAGGGAGTATCAGTTACATAAAAGTTTCAGTTACACCAATCTGAAAAGTATCAACCAGTCTAAAATCTATGTTCATGAGTTTTCTGCCGACTCTCACTATAACTTAGGACACCAAAAACTAATCCATACAATGTTTAGTCACTTCGACTAGTGGCTATATTGCAATTTGATCGATAGGATTTGGTCAGTACTAAGGGTATATACACAAACACGAAATCGGTTACTACTCAGTAATAAAGAAGTTAGTAGAATGTTGGTCTGAATTAAAACAGATATCTACCATTGTAAATTTTCTTCGAACAAGCCAATAATTCTAGACTCTAATTTGTTTAAAACTTTTTAAATACATTGATATGTTGACAGTGAAAGTAAATATGGTTGGCTACCGAACGTGAAATGACAAACACAGATTACTAACTACTTAGTATTTTGTGATTTTCTTCTCATTATTGATTTCAGCTTTGGATTCACTGA